TCAATTTTGGCTAGTACCATTGTCCATTTCCTGACACCTGATGTAGTGATCCAGATTATGGCACACTTAATGTCTGTGTGGTTATGGCCATACTGCCCAAGAGTGATCCTTAAATGCTGACTTTCTTCAAGGTTCATACTGTCAACAGATGACTTTGGCCCAGTGGCAGCCATTCAAAAGCAAGCAGTTTTGAGATGAAGGTGAGACTGAGCATGGGAGAACAGGTCAGCATGCATTAGCTTTCTGAATACCATGTCCTAGTGAGCAAACCTATTCCTCACCAGTACACCTGGAAAGCTCCCTGAACTACTTCCCTGTTTCCACTGTGAACTTGAGGGTTTCAAGGAATTCTGTAGTTCTGTATTATGCCATGGAATGACATCCATGCAGTACTATATGAAGCAGAATGTCGAGTGCCTACTATTCAAAGTGTTCCGAGTTTGGAGACTGACATGAGACGAGTCCATGTGGTGCCATCCATCCAGTCAATCTTTCCATTACAGATGTATGTCACTATGAAGAGTTGCTATTCCTTCCTCAAACTGATGTTATAGGATGTCTGATGTTTTCTTGAACTCAGCATCTGTAAAGTGAGGTAGTCACTCTACACCTATCCCTGATAGTCTTTGTAATATTTGTATGAATTGCATTCTACAATGAACCTCAGTGCAAAAATTAAGTTTAGCGCATTTTAAACCCGGATTAAAAATATACATTTAAAAAACTAGGCTGAACAAACCTCTGCTATAAAAGGAAATGAACACCATGCAACACAAATTTCATTTACTTCTAACACAGACGTCAGATATTTTGAAGCCATCTGTTTTTGTTTCATTAATCTTGTATCACAGTTTACAGTGGTAATTTTCTGCAGTTTTTAGATATATGGTCTCTGTTACCGACTAAAATTCACTCACTCTGAAAGCTGTTATACTTCGCCATTTTAAGTACTCAGCAACCAAGACTTCTAATGTTACAAGCCTCTGTTAGAACCATACAAAGTATACTCATTCTGAGCTTGAAGCTGATCATTAACCAATTTTTGTATTATACTGGTACACTGATGCTAAAGTTCTCTATAACCTTATAATTCATTATGGCACTGTGCACAAAATTAAGCAGTAATGATCTCTGAGAGACTAAGCTTCTTAACATCACAGACATAAATCTCTAATACAATACTGAAATGAAAAGATATCCTGTTGATACCACTGTCTATTCATGTGAAGGCCCCTTGCATGGCAGAACATTCTCAAATCCTGAAGAAATGGTCTGATCACCATGTCCTTGTAGTGTTCTTGGGTCACTCTAAGAGCACTGCCTTCCTCATTCTCAATGAAATAGGGGCCTAATATACCGTGTGCTGAGATGGCACACCATATTGTCACACATGTACTATGTAGCGGTTTCTGGACGATAACATCTGGCTGCTCAAAACCAAGAGCAAGTTGTCTGGCGACCACTTCCATATGAGAGAAAATAATACTCAACTACGAATACTTTTTCCTCCGTTGAGAGACCCATTTCCAACAATTGCACAACACAACTTCCTTTTACTACTGAGAACACATGTGGCTGGAGCTATGCCCTGTCGACAAACGCACATGCACGTTCGAGAGCGCGAGTCTCAGTACTGCATATTTTGGCGCATACTGTACTTTCCTAAGCAGCAAGAAAGTTCTGGTTGTGGTATAACCACATTCATCAACTTGATCAAAGAAACCTATTTACAGACCCTACCCTGAGTCCAACTGTGTGCATGTTCCCCAAGCGGTTCCTTCTAAGTTTTCCATTCACAATTTTATATGAGGTCATTTAGGAACATTTCAACACATCTAGAAACAAATTGTGATTCTAGGTACTCTCTTCAAAATCTGAAAACAAAAATTTCCAAACAATTTCCATGGATTTATGTTCCATTTGTGCTGCAACTGTAGTACAGAATTTGCTCACTTCCACAGCCCTTTGACCAAGCATTTACAGACCTCAAGTCCTCCCAAGGTTAAATGTAGGTTTCCATCTGGAAATGAAAACTCTACCATGTCCTGTCATTTTCTTCCCTAAATTAATTTTCTGGTTAAGGCCACACTGTTCTATAATTTGGAAGGCCAATTATCTGACATGTCATAGTTATGAAACCTAAAAGACATACAATGAAACCTTGATTCATCATTTTTGTCAGAGGGGAGGTCCTGAAAAAATACGGATATGGAAAAACAATGCTGGGGCATATATAAAATGAATAAAAACGGCCACACTTGCCTATATATACTTATTTACTAAATAAAAAAACATACACCAGTGATATTATTTCTACTGTCAAGTCCAATTTGCATTACTTCTTTTTAAAAGAAGTCACTAGTCCTTATTTGTTAGGTAGCACCTATCCTTTTCAAACTCAATGATCTTTCAATATTAACGATCTCACTGACTCAAACACACAAAGTGGTTCTGTAAAACTCAGCTTCATCGTTATCATCAGCACCATCACCTGGCCAAATCTTCACGCAACTTCCACTTCACACCACACCACACGTTGCAAGCTCCTGGTCCAAAGACATGTAGGCATCAAAGTCCACACCAGTGGTGCTTGCTCCCAGCTGAACCCAGTCTTCATCTTGCATAACATTATCCTCACCACTTCTGTTGACCTCCATCATGTCTGACCCTTCTTCTTCTTCTTCATGTGGCCACACTTGAGAGAACAGTTCTGGATTGTGGATTGGGTCACTTGTTGCCACGCCAAAATAAAGGCAATGGTGCAAAGGATATCGACCGAGTTGGACCCCTTTCCCTGTATCCATCAAACTTACAGCCCTCTGCACTAGCTGCTTCCTGTAGACCTGCTTGAAGCACCTGATCAGAACCAAATCAAAGAGGCTGCATGACACTGGTGCAGTTCAAGGGGTAAAAAACCACTTTTATATTTCTCAGAGAGGGTGTCTGGAGAATGAGAAGCACAATTATCTACAAAGAGGAGGATTTTCCTGCCTAGTGCACCAAATGATGCTTCAAGAGAATGCAGAAAGTCCCTGAAAATCTGCTGTCATACATGCTTTTGATTTGGCATAATAGGTCACAGGTAGCTTCCTTACATTTTTGAAACACTGTGGCTTCACAGACTTTCCAATAGTGATGGGTACTTGTTTGCCTCAGCCATTGCACTGCAGCACTGAGTCATTCCTTTGCACTTTTTCCTCGATGGCAGGTTTCTCCCTTCAATGGCAGCATTCAGTCTGGTAGGCTCTTGAAAAAGAGGCCCATTTCATCTGTATTATAGATGTCCCAAGCCCTGTAGCCCTCCAGCAGCTCTGGAAGCCTTTCAAATCAGAGGTCTGGGGCATTGGTGTACACAGCAGCACCCTCCCCAGCCAATTTCTTAAATACCAGGCCGTGGTGTTGATTGAAATGAAAGATCAAACCATGTGAAGCTGAAAAGTTCTCAATCCCCACTGCTGCAGCTATTTTGTGGGATTTCTCCAGCCAGATGGTCCCATCCACAGGCATGCTTGATGCTCGGGCCTGCTGGTACCAGGCAAAGAGGACATCTTCAGCTTGCTGTAGGTCGACTACTTGCCCATCTTCCTCTTCTTGGCTGATGTACCACACTTACCAGCCTGTTCTCTGATCTCTTCTTTCCTTTGCAATAATCAAATTTAGGGCTGACAGTGGCAGGCTTAGTCCCTGGGCTACGTCAATACTCTTCTCTGACAGGTTTTCTCCACTTCTTCTAAAGTCCAAACTTGTTTCACAGGCAATGCCATGCGGGAGAAAATTGTTTTAAAGATAAGAATAATGCTAACAATAACTTGAAGCGCTGCAGAGGACTGAATATACATGATGAACTGTGTACTCAACTAGGCAAAAGCACAAATTGAAAACAATTCACACTAACATATGGCAAAGTTTTCACAGCTGGCCCAGGCTCTTGCCATCCCCTCTTCCTCTCCAGCTCAACGTCTGGTAGGTAAGACATGCTCAAGGTTGCACAGGGCACAGCTATCTGTACAGAGCCAAAACTGCAACTTGCTACACCATGTTCCACAACATCAACCGCTGTCACTACTACTTCACACTATTAACATTTGTGTGTGTGTGTGTGTGTGTGTGGTGTTGCTCATTCTTAAAAATGAACAATCCAGGATTAACATTTTTTGGGACTAAAACTTCTGACCAACAGATGCAGGAGAATGATAAATCAAAGACTGACTGAGGTGGGTTTTATTTCCATACTTTAAATAGGATTTGTTCAGGGACCATAAAAATTGAACAATGGATCTGGGAATGACAGATCAAGGCTTCACTGTATATATTTAACTTGTAAAACAGACTGTAAATTGCTGCAGCTGGTATAATTTTATGTTTAGTGTGAGTGAAATGCACATGCGAACTTTATATCTTTATGTTCTCACAATCAATATTCATAAGCACAAACAATTAAGACTCACAATATACATTATCTCCAGTGTGTTTATATAGTGTTCGAATTACATTTTTCATACACCCTACATAGTTAGGCACATCAAGCAACGATGGTAATGGCTGGTAATACTTCAGCCATCCAAGGCTCCAGAAATGAATTCACTTGTTCCACAAGAGTAAATCAGTGAAGACTATGGCAAGTATATTTTAAGCCTTAGCACAAATCTATTAGAAGTACTTAAAAATACTTATTGCATGTGGGATACAGAAAGCAAATTAAAGAATGTATTGCTTTTTTGTTTTGTGACCTTAACTTCTGAGTTCTCATACATCGCCTACAGAAATATTTGTATGATCTACCCGGGTGAGGCTAAGGGAGGGTGGATTCTGTTAAACGTGTAGTAGATTTAAGTTGTATTTCTGGAGCCCTGGTGCCATTCCTTGAAGAAGAAATGTCTTCTCATTGCAAGACTTACCTGGACAGTTTCACTACTGAGTCAGATGACAGCAACTACTGTAACAATACATGAATATTCCAGCCATCACTTGAAGAGATGCATTCTCACTGGAAGACTTACCTGCACATTTCACGTACCAAATCAAAGACGACAGCAAAGGCTGTAACATTCCAGAAATATCAGTGAACTTAGCTAGATGTAACTCATAACATGATTGCATTATTGGATAATAACTGATGAGTGGATACTACTGAAAGTTTACTCTCCTTTATCAAAATCCAGGTTGGTTCATGGGGTAATAAATACTTAGCTATGGGACTTCATTACAAAGTCATATTGGGGAAAAAAACTGTAGTTCGCGCAGGGAGACACCTGATGTTTACGCAACTTACAATGGCCTAAAGAAAATCAAAATTCTATTAAAGGGCTCTGAATATACTGGTCTTGAAATAAGAGTGCCTTGGATTTCAACAAAATCTGAAAAGCTGCAGAGCTAGATATGTGATAAGTATGAAATGTTATCTCCCTACAACTTAATTTCAGAGACTTCTCAATTGAAGATGTGGAACATTCTTCCAATTTTCCTTGACTTGTAATCACTAGTATATTTACAACAACTCTGGCCCTTGTCCAGACTGGTCACTATCAATTAAAAAATTTGAAACCACACTTTCATTTGGTACATAACCCAAATTTAGGTAAGATTACTTCTACAGCCAAACAACTACAGAACTGTAGCAACTTTGCATTTTGCGTTTATGCCGTCTGTGCAACGTCGGTTACTATTCACTCCTTGTTTCTCTTTATTTACATTACATGTTCTGGCCTAACTGGTCATCTTCAGGTGTACATGTTTCTGTGATTAAGTAACCAGTGAGTTAACCATCTGTTTTATTTAGGTGTCCTTGAGCTGCACATGTTTGCCTTATGGTTTTGCTTGGTTTGTTGGCTGTGGCTGACTTGAATGTTGTTTTTAGGGTAGGAGTTTGCTGTGTAGCAATGTTCGCATATAAAACATGAACCATAAATAAGTTATCATTTAACAAGTTTCAAACTGTTACCAAGAAACTAACACCAGACTCTGTGGCCTGCAATGTTAATCAAACAGGTAATACAAGGATTGTTCCATATATAATGCCTATTTTTTTAATGAAAACTACAATAGATACAGAAAGCATAAAAACACAGTTAAATAGAGCAAGATTTCAGCTATTTAGTTATTTTTCCACATAATTACCACCATTTGTTATGTACTTTTGCCAGTGATGAACAAGAGCCTGTATGCTGTGTTTTAAAAGTCTGCGCCAGCAGAGGCAAGCCACTTCCTTACAGCTGCAATGACAGCATTGTTGTCTGCAAAATGTAGCCCACGTAGTCCATCTTTCATAGGCCCAAAGAGATGGAAGTCTGAAGGTGCTAAATCGGGCTATAATGTCCAGAGTGGTCGCCAAACTGGTATGGGGTCTAGCGTTATTGTGTTGCAAGTGAAAGGTTCTCTGCTTCTCTGGCCTGACTCGGGAAATGCGGGCTTTCAGCTTAGTCAGCATCATCTTGTACCGCTCAGAATTGACAGTCTCATCAGGCTCCAGGAAATCCAACAAAATCACACCCTGCCTATCCCAAAAGACCGTGCACATCACTTTCCTTGCCAATAGCTGTGTCTTGAACTTCTTTTTTCTTGGGGAATCTGGATGTCGCCACTCCATGGACTGTCTTTTGGATTCCAGCTCATAGTGGTGACACCACGTCTCATCTCCGGTGACGATGCTGTCCAGAAACTTATCACTTTCAGCCTCAAACTGGTGCAACAGGTCCTGACAGGCTTCCATTCGATGAGTTCTGTGGTCCTGTGTAAGCATCCGAGGGACCCACTTGGAACAAACTTTGTAATAATCCAGCTTCCCCAACATTGTTTCCAATGCATTACACCTGATATTAAGCCATGCACACAGTTCCCTGGTCGTTATCCGTCGATCTGTAAGGATGAGCTGATCGAGGCACTGTTCACTGTCAGGACTGGCAGCTGAGCAGGGACGCCCAGGGTGTGGTTTGTCGTGCACTTCACTTTTGCCACTGTTAAAACACACTACCCACCGCCTCACTGTGCTGACATCCACTGTATCATCTCCATACACCTTTAACAAGCACTGATGGATGTCAGTGGGTGCAATTTGTTTGCCAGTGAGAAAATCAATAACACATCTCTGTTTCGTACACACTTCTATGTCAGATACCAATTTGGTAGACTGCTCTGCTGTCACTATCTGTCACACGACAACCAAACTAAGAGTACATTGGTGGGAAGGGTCAACCTTTACTACAACATCACCAACATCCAGCTCAAATGTTACAGATTAACACAAAAAAAATAGGAGGCATTATATATGGAGTGCCTTTCGTATGTCAGGTTAACATAATGTCATATAAAAGATACTGTACTTACTGTCCTCTAGACTGTTAAACCTCTGCTCCTACAGAGAGAGAGAGAGAGAGAAAAAAAAAGAGTATAAACTGAAAGCATGTGGAAGGAGGGGGTGAAGATGGATGGAAATTAGAACACAGAACTCTATGACTGACTCTTCTCCCTATGGAGTGAGTGTAACTTACGCCTCAGAAGTAAGATGTGCTAAACACACGAGTTTCAACAATGAAAACAATTTTTGTGGGGAAACTCACAGGAAAGCAACCACTCAAGAGACTGTGATGAAGAGATAACTTGATACTATAATGTATCTTAAGTTATAATATGGGCTGAATTAGAGATAAGTGGAATTTGATCGGGAGAAGTTGGATTGGGTCAGTCTTGCAATTCTAAAGCTTACCCCACAAATGGAGTTGTCTTAAGAAGACTCCTCAAAGTTTTCATGATGTAGATGCATGGCCTCTCCAATACAATCGGGAATGGACTCCCACATCATGCTCAGTAGACAGAAACCCTGAAAATCATTTCACCACTAATATAAGAATACATTAATGTAAGTCTGTGAGCAATGTGTGTGTGTCTCTCTCAAACTGACTTTCTCTGCAAGTTTATATATACAAAACAAAAACAAACTCCATGGCCTGTAGTCTGCAAACAAACTATACAACTGAGCAACCGCCACTTGTTGGCAAACTAAGTGCCAATTTTAATGGATTGAGGGTGTTGCGTGGTCAGCGCAACGGTCCCCATGGCCGTTAATTTTGGTTTTCCAGACAATAAAGTTTATATTAAAGCATCGCCTAATTGTGCATACTTGCAATATACAGTATATATTACAAAAACCATCTGCACAAACTTTATGAATGTACAGATAACTGTAGAATACATTTTGCTTTCATCTTCAGGGTTGAAGAGTAAGCCAAGAGTAGGGACTGAAGAAGGCCTTTTGCTGAGCTTGCGAGCTGCTTCTGCAAGTTTCTTGCTTGGTTTGCTCTTCAACCCTGAAGACTGAGGCAGTATGTCCCACCCAAACATTTGTCTCTCTTCTAATTACATGGCACTGCAAGCCAGAATAAGCCACTCTGCACTGTAACTGCCGATACAACCTCAAATCCAACATAGTAAAGATTATATTATAATATTTCAGCATCCTGTTGCACTGAAGTATCTATAATGCAACACACTTTCTCATTTCAGATGACACCAAACTTACATTCAACTCACTAAAATGTCAGTTAAAATGTTCTTAATATGCCATTAAAATATATTCTATGTCAGGCTACATGTTTCAGCCTCAATGGGCCATCTTTAGGCAACACATGTTGATAAACCCACTGCACTGTGCTTGCTTTTGTCAATAATTCTCAATGACATATGTCACCATTACTCTCAACTTTAGTATTCTGAGAATGTCCGTTCTTTTTCTATCTTTGTATTGCGGCTTCTCTGTGCCCCTCTTTGTGTGCTGCTCCCTTGGTTGTGTGTTCCTTGTACTGTGATGAGATATCACAGTCTGTAGCAAGGTACCAATGGTTCAGGGGAACCTGTTGCCTGCCTGCATTTTAAATGCATGTTACAATTTACATGACCAGTATATTTCAGATTACTCATGATGGTTTTCAGGTGGCTGTCCAAACATGTTACATTTTACTACTTTATTCTGGAACATGTTTATTAACTCCATGATGAATCCAATGTTTCTCACTATACAACTAAACTACCCTGGGGGACGTTACACAGATGTGCAACATGTCAATGCAATTCATAGATGGACCAAAATTTCTTGGCCAAGCAGAAATATTTAGTATAGTTAGTCTTTCATAGCTGCCAAGGAGACTGTAGGAGAGAGAACTCAGTTTTTAAAAATAACTAGGATGACAGAAAATGATTTTTATGATCACAAACATGCTCCCAAAAAATTTAAATCCTTACTTCAGTTTTCCCCGAGTCTGAAAGGGCCTACGAGGGTGAGCCAAATGAAAACCGTAAACATTTTTTAAATTTAATTTATTGAACGAAAGAATTCACAACTGTATCATTTTTCTACATAGTATCCATTTCGTTCAATACAGGCCCTCCAGCGTTTGCAAAGTTTATGGATTCCTCTAGAAAAAATTCTTGTGGTTGTCTGTGCCTGCTGTACCTCTGCATCAGAACAGAACTTCTTTCCTCCTATCGCCTCTTTTGAGTGGCCCAAACATGTGGTAATCACTTAGGGCTAGGTCTGGTGAGTATGACGGATGTGGAGGACACTCAAAATGCAAGTCTAGGATTGTTGCAACTGTTGCACGGGCAGTATGCGGCCAAGCATTGTCATGTTGCAAAAGGGCATCTCTAATCAAAAGTCCACATTGCTTTGATCTGACTGCAGGTCAAAGATGATTCTTCAAGAGATATGAATATGAGGCACTGGTGATAGTGTTCCCCTGAAGCATGTAGTGCTCCAAGAGTATGCCTCGTTCATCCCAAAAGAGAGTCAGCATAGTCTTCCCTACAGATGGCTGCGTCTGGAACTTCTTGGGTTTTGTGATGAGAAATGACGCCATTCCTTGCTCATTCTCTTTGTTTCTGGTTGGTGGTAGTGCAGCCAAGTTTCATCGCCAGTAACGATTCTTGAAAGGAAGCCATCACCTTCTGCTTCAAGGTGATGCAGAAGTTCTTCATAGGCGTCAACACGTCACTGTTTCAATTCTGGAGTCAGCTGCCATGGCACCCACTTTGCAGACACTTTGTAAAACTGGAGTGCATCATGCATGAGATGGTGTGCTGATCCATGACTCATGCTAAGAATTTCAGCTATTTCATCAACCGACACTCGGCGATTCTCCATCACTAGGGCTTCAATTGCTGCAACAGTCTCAGGGCCACAACTCTGTGTGCCTGACCCAGACAAGGAGCGTCTGCCACAGATGTCACACCATTTCTGAATTTCCTACTCCACTCGTACACTTGCTGCTGTGACAAGCATGTATCACCATACTGAACCTTCATCCGTTGATGAACTTCAATCGGTTTCACACCTTCACTGATCAAAAAACGAATTACAAAAAGTTGTTCTTCTTTCGTGCATGTACATAGTGGAGTAGCCATCTTCAAACCAGCACTATGATGGCATTCTGTTTGTCTGCATTACACTGCCACCTATAGGATACTCCTTATAGCATTGGTAACATGTCTGCCAACTTACAGGACAATGGCGCGATATTTCAAATTTTGTCTCAGTTTTATGGTTTTCATTTGACTTACCTATGTATTTTCATGCAGAAGCTTCAATTGTTCTTTTGTTAATAATATCAAGCAAACTTCACACCCAGGTATTCTGCTGTACATTACGGTTACTATATTTGTATGAAATTTGTGCAGGCTGTTACCACAGTAATACAAAGTCCTACAAAACAAGTGTCCACTTCCATTATCCCTTTAAGATTATACAGCCCTCAATATCACTAACGTAGTGCAAAACAGTGAAAGATAACCTTCATCTTAGGGTCTCTCATTTACACTGCTGGCAAGAGTACGTCGAATGGATCAAGTTCTTGAGACAAGGCATAAGGAACATGCAGCACACACAACTATTGCAACCATGTAAGTCGGTGGTGGCTGGGCACACAGAGGAAGAGTACATGACAAACTTCTGAGAGAATGCTGCATGGGCCAGGTATGACATGCCATATGAACAACTTAATGGAGGAGGCTGTCGAGATCCAGCTGCACCCCACTAACTTCAACAAGAGCATGGGATCCCATGTAAGCCATTCATTGTGCCTGACTGCTAAGAGGCAACATGCTGGGACAGTGCACCACTGGCTATACTGTTCTTCAGTGGTACACAATGGGCCGGCTGAAGGCATACTCTGGGTTATGATACAATTTGTGGTTTAACACCTGGCAATGGAGCAAGTGTCCAAAACATTCGATACTAACTCCAAACTAACCCCGTGCAGACTTCTTTGCTCATCTCCTCATGTTCTGTTTTTATTTTAAAAAAATCCCATGACAGGGAGATAACAGAGAGGACCCCCCCACCCAAAAAAAAATAAACCATCACTGCAGTATATTAATGGACACACACTTGGCAGCACAGAAAGGAGAGAAGCCTACAACTTGAAAAGCTGTGTGAGAAAGCAAAAATTAGACACTTAAATGTTTACAATTTGACAATGGAGCAAACAAACAACATATTATATAAATTTTATGGATCTTGGTTACTTAGAATATGGGGAAAGTGTACAAATAAACACTACATGCAAGTCACAGTAAAAGTACAAAAAAGGAAATATACGTTTTACATAAATACAAAATTCCTCACAATTGTCCCACATTAAGTTTTATTATTCAGTATATAGTTAACAAGCTGTGACTAAGACTAATAATTCATCAACAAAATAAAAGATATAAATAGACAAACTCTTTAATTCCACCCGAAATTATTCTGTCAGACCCTATTCCTACTGAGGTTTAGCTTAACACACAAATTGGCAACTGGTCTGCAGAGATCATGCCTGTGCCTCATACACAATCTACAAAGCCCTGAAACTGACAAAAATGCATACTCAGGGAGTAATGTTAGTACGCAAAATTTATTAAACCTTTAGATGACTTCACTTCCCTAAGCACCGGCCATAATTGTCACGATCTTGTTTTGCGGAAAGAATATTTTATTACTGTTAGCTGAATTTCCCCATTATATACCCATTCCTGCGTCTGCTCAATATCGTTAGTACTTTTTGACAATTTTGATCTGAAAAGGAAAACGTGTAAGAAGTGCACTTTGTTCTATGCTGAAATTCCATTAATTTATACAACAAAAGACTATCCAATGACAAATCATGCGTTACACCAAACGCCTTACATTATGTCAACCGTGTTGCAATTCCTAAACACAAACGTAATTACTTATTATACCTCTTTAGGCCCTGCCAATAACACATTCACAAACTGTATATTAACTATGGGAAAAGTCCCGAAACTGACCTAGCAACAACCTCCACAACCACCTGTGCACATGCAATATGGCGTGCGTAGGGAAGTAGGGAAGATCGGTGAAGATAATCCGTTGCGCTTGCGTCCTTGTGCCAGGCAGGCTTCAACTGTTTCAGCTCTTCATGCAAAATTGACTTAAAACCAATAACACTTATCATCAGTCATCATCAGTAATCTGTCAAGACGACAGGTCCACAGTCTCTTCCAAAACAATTCCTCCATTTAATGCGATCTAGAGCTTTCTCCTTCAAATGACAGTATCCTCTTCTGTCCCCACGGTCATCCAGCATCTTTTTTATGTCTTCTTCCTCGTCTTCTTGTCACTTCTACCCGCCCCTCTATCTTTCCTTCGATAACTTCTTTTAGAAGGCAGTTTCTGCGTGAAACATGACCAATCCAATTAGCCTTCCGTTTTCTTATTTCGTGTAGGATATTCCTCTGCTCACTGACTCTAATTAATAACACTACATCACAGAAAAACATGAAAGCAGATGTCCTCATTGCCACAATCCAAAACTCGCCCTACTGTAC